GGAGTAGAATTGGTAAATCATTAAACACACGCTCGGCAGTCTTCCTGCTGAGCAAAAGACTGCTGCACTACCCACAAGTGTAGCGACCGTTACATACACACTGCCATTAGAAGAGAAAATTAGGACTTTTCATGCACACAACAGCAATTTAAAAACACAATAATATTTCTTGCTGCTCCTTTAAACACAATCATACAATTTAGGCAAAGACTATTGATTTTTAATTTATATATCACTGTTTTACCTTTTGACTGTACCAGTTAAAACACTTTTACTTCAAATCAGTTTTTCTAGCATTATAGTAATTATCAAATATAGAATTTGTGTGTATTATGCATAATATTAGGCGTCTGTTTGAAAACACAAAAGTCGTGTGTGTACATATAAATTACAGTTCATTCATTACATGAATCAGAGCATTTCTTGTTTCATCGCTGCCATTACATGTCGCAAGCCGCTGCAAGCTTGTCCTGCTTATTTGTTTTTTTTTTCTCCGTTGTTTATTTCTTAAAGTGCTGCTATTGTTTTCGCAACTCTCGGAACTTCAGAAGCGCGAGACATGAATCATAAAAAATTCCATCTAGTGAAGAGATAAACGTGTCATGCCAGCATTAAGTGTTGACTCAAATAAGTTCACAAGTTGTGTCTCCTCTGATCTCTAACATGATCAGAAAGCAGCACCAGTTTACAGAGACAAGACATGAAAAAAAAGTTGCATGCACAGACACAAAAGAAATATTTTGATATAGACCCAAAGAGAAAACATATCAAAAGACATTTTTATACATGTCTTTTGCGAGCACAAAAAAGCAGAAATGGTGTCAAGAGAAAACAAAACAGAAGGCTTGTTTCTTCCAACAATTGCTTTAAGCTACAAAAATCTCCTTGAGTCCCTAGCTTCCCCTCAATGTCAGCCCTCCTCCTCCTCCTCTCTCTCCTCTTCGTTTCTCTCTTCCCCCCTTCTCCCCTCTCCGAGGCAGGACAGGACCCTCTTTGCACCCTGATAGGTTGCCGGCTGATGCTTAGCAACAACATTCCTGTGCCCTAAGTAGCAGTAAGCCTCTGGCTGAACTCTTTGATGTGGCTGTCAGGCCACATTTATTTCCTTTTAGCACTTTGTCTACATGTCCAGATGTATAAGGAGATAAAAAGGGCTGGTGTTTACACTGGTCTCCCTCTGTAGCGCGGCTGTAATTAGATTGTATTGCTGGTCAGTCTTAAGGAGGGAGTTGAGGTGAGGCGAGGCAGGAACCAGCTGTGTCAGGATGAGCTGGCAGGGGTCAGACCTCAGAGCCCACGCTGCAGTGTGCGCACAGCAAAGTCCAAAATATTTTGTATACTTTGGCTTCCAACATCATAATCACATCATAATTCTGGGGAAATCTTTGCACATCCGTTGCTGTGGTGTAGTTTAATAGAAAAACCACAAAGCTACAGCCCAGCTTGGCAAAAACTTGGTAAACTTTGTTGCAGCTCCATCTGTAAAAGAAACTCACCTAGATATACGTCAACCTTCCCAGACTCGCTTTTTGGTAGCTCACATTTTCAGGAACCCCACTGTGGAGGTGGGCATGTGCTCCATGTGGCTCTCTCAGTGTTTTGCTTTTCTTCGTCTTTTCATCCCACCCCTGCCTCTCTCTTCCTGCTGCCCCCTCATGGCGATATGTTGGAACTAATAATCACTATTGCCTCTGGGTTTATCAGCATTTATTCGCATAACAACACAGAGAAGGATAAGACAGACAGCTCCGGTGTGATGTATGATCCTGTACGGGAATCATCTTTCATAATGACATCCAACTGAGCTTCCTCTCTCTGCCACCTCCCATTTTTCTGTCTCTCCCTCTCACACAGACACACTCTTCTTTCTTTTTTCATTTCTCTCTCTTTCTCTTTTCACTTCCCTCTGTCCACCCTGTATGATCACAGGATCGCTCCGTAGCCTGTAAATTTGTGCTGCATTATCATAAGCTGCGGCGATAACTCACACTGCACAGAGACAATAATGATGTGAACACTCAGCATATGCCCCGGGCCCAGCAAATTAAAACAATGCTCAGCTTGATGAGCAGACTAATCTGGACAGCAGAGAGAAGCTCAAAGAGGTGGGGGGGTGGAGGAGGGCGGAAACAGGGGGTCCAGGAGCATCTTGAATAGATGACACAGTAGCACCTCCCTCTGTTCAGTGTAGGTACGACTGGAGAAAACAAGAGAGGGACACAGAAAGAAAGGATGCAGAGGCAAACGCAGACGAAGGAGATATAACAACATTACAACACAATAACTAGGTTTTCTTTTGTTCTGCAGTGAAGTAAATTCTTTAAATTTGTATTATTAGATGCACCACAAGCTCCCAAAATGTCATATTTCTACTCTACGTCCTCAGTAATGTAATTTACTATTCTAATAATTCACAACGTGGCCTCATCACATATGTCTGTCGTATTTTAAAGCGAGGACTTGGCGCAGAGATCTCACTCTCTTCTGTAAAACATTAGAATAATAAAAGTCGCCATTCCATTGGTCCTCTGAAAGCAAGAGATAATCCTAACGCTCTCCTTTATTTGTTCCACATGCTTTCTTCCCACAAGCATTGCTGCTGTCTCTTCCCTCTGGATGGGTCATTGGCTAAAGTGAAAGAGTGCAGATGTGGAGGAAAAAAAGGGAGGATCAGGACACGGGGAGCCAGCTGATTGATGTTCCGTGGGTGGGGTAAAATGCTCGTGCTGTGTGACAACCACAGATGGTGAATGGGTCGGGTGTTTGATCAGCGGGCATGATACAGAGGAGGTGAAGTGGTCATATCATGCATCACACAGGGACTGGGTGGGTGGTGGTACTGAAAGCGAAGGTGAATGACGTCCCATGGGACCAAACCCAGGCTCTATCTAGGATAAAGCTAACCCCAGCAGTCCTCCCTCTCCCTTTCTCCAGGACCCTTCTAACACAGTCTGTGGGTGGTGCTGTTAATAATGTGGCAACTAGGAAGATTAATTGTGGACAAGCAGCAGGATTAGAAGGGGCCTTTTGGGGCCAAGCATGCCTGAAGAGGCCCAGGCTTGTGATCTTTCAAGCAGACCAGGAAATGAGGCAAGCAGGGGCGTAACTCGACAGTGGCTCAGAGGAGCGTGGAGCTCGAGCAAATAGAGGAGGTTTCACATTTATTTTCTTAATGCCCGACTGGCTCCGTCAGCTCATAATTGTCATTGATCGACAATTTTTGTATTCAATGTGAACACCAATATCAATTATACCCACAGAAGCAATTGGCAAAATGTAAATTACGCCATTTTCAGACATGAACTCCGGAAAATGTACAGAAGATTGGGTCCAGACTTTTTCCTGACTCTACCTTTTAAATATAAAGTTGCATTAGATGCTCAGCAAGAGTCTTCTATGGCATCTCTTTCTCTTATATTTGTAATCTTTTTATTCTTTTTAGGTTTTGCCTCTATCAAACATCAACGTGGTCATGGTGAATCCTCTGGACAATATGCTTCTGCTTTCTCACATGGGCTCACTCGGACATTCTCCAATTTTTAACTAGGGGGCTGACAGGAACAGCTATAGAGACTTATTGGGAGCAAGTGTCGTGGACATTTGGATTCTCACTTTCAACAGCTTAGGAAAATTTCAGTGCAGAATGTTTTCTTTTCAGATAGGATAATTACTTGTAAATAGCATGGGTGGTGATATTTGTGGTTCTGGATCTCTCATTGGTTCACTCCAGTGTCCACATTACATTACAGGTATGAACCTGATTGTTTTTCCTCAAATGGGAGGTGGCAGTTTTTTCCTGAGGACAGTATGTTCTTATTTTAGGTTGCTTTACTTCTTGTATTACATATTACATACAAGTGCAGCTCACAAGCAGCAAGTGATCTGTGATATTTGTAACAGGTTTCAGCCGCTCCAGAGGCTGAGAGCAGCAGGTCTGCTGTCAAAACAATATTCCTACTCCAAGCCGTTTCTCTCAAAGCATGATCCTCCAGCGTGTACGCAGTGAGTTCTCAGAATAGGCTTCTTTCGCCATTTTTCTCATGCGGCGTAATACGAGACACATGCTGGCCAGACCTTAATGCCTTTTAGAGATTCTATCTGAGAGCATATTATGTGATCATTTCCAATTCACTGTGCTCTCTTTGCCCCATGAAGAATATGGTTCCATTTAACGGCGCAGGCCACTCGATTTCTCAAGGTTATGCATGGGCATGTAGAGGAACAACAATAAAAGTGGGAAAAATGCCGCTCCAAACCGTCTCTAATATGTATTTGTCAGTTGAGTTTCTTGCCATGATTAAAGGCCCAGTGAATTCCTTCCTGCAGGAAAGGAAAGTATTTCTGCAAAGGCATCAGATATCGCTGTGTCATGATAAACTGCTTGCTCCGCTAGCTAAAAGGCTACGGAAAGGAAGAGAATGTTCTGGACCTTGAAAGTGCATAGAAGAACAACAACCCAAGAAACTCTTGACCTCTTTGGAAGCACACTCTGCAGATTTGTGCCTGTTTTCTCTTTGTGGCACTTGTTTAACCCCAACCTCTGACTTAGCTCACGACCAGTGGCTCTGACGAGTTGCACAGCCAAGAAACTCTGCACATACGTACCTCATGTTTCTATAATGTGACAATAAATGAGCAAGCCAATGAAATAGGGATCATGTTTGTTCTGTGAAGAGTGAGTGACGTGTACCCTCTAGTTGACCGCTGCTGGAGGTCATGGCTGAGTGAAGGTTAAGACCTCTCCTCCCTAACCAGGTGGTAGATCAGACCATCAATGCCTGGAGTGACACGTGATAAGTAATAAAACATGACCTGCCACATTATGTCATAAAACAGGAGCAGCGTTTCCAACAGATCCTGCGTCCCTCCCAAAGGATTTATGGCACTCACAGACAGTGATATTTCTCTATATATTATGATATTTTGAAACGTGTCAAATCTTTTTTCCCCCCCCCTTCTCCCAACATTCATTCCATTTGTGTGTCTCCTTTCTCTTATAGCCGCCTAATGAGTCTAGATCTGAGAGTCACCCGGCACCCTACACTCCTCTGCCCCGAGGGTCCAGAGATGCCAAGAACCACAAAGGTAAGAAAAACAGAAAGGAAATGCATAACCTTTTCAATCAGGTGGCTTGTGCACACATCTTTACAGATATTCTTCAAAATAAACAAGCAGAAAGATATATAGTCGTATCGGCCCATGGATTATGCAAATACAAGTCATAACCCAAACATCTGCAGAGAGTGGGAATTTATTGAACTGGAGCCTGAGTCGAAGTTGTGTTATCTATTCTCACTGATCTCATCTCCTCTGTGTGATGTGTTGATAGTGAGAATAAATCTCAGTAATCTAGGTTAACTCTGATCTGAATGTATGCGTGGGAGCACACAGTTCATATACATGATGAGGCATCCTTGATCTGTTGATACGAGACATTGATTAGGCCTCATATTGACCCAGTGCAGCGAGTTGATGTAATTGTGCTGCAACTTCTTAACATCAAACACTGCACTCAAGGAGGAATTCATCACGTTCATTAAAAATATACAGTGTTCTAAATTAACTGTGAAGGCCCCCCTGCTGCATTTGTTGGAGATTCACAACTGAGATTTTAATAACAATCTCTGCCATTCCATTTCAGATTACTTTTATGTCCTTGGACTTCCAAAATATACTAGTATTATAAAAATATAACATTGGAATTCCATTAGAAATTTAAATTAATAAAGATTATTTAACACAAACACAGAACAGGTCACCTAATATGACATATTACGTAATTCTATCTATTTATTAAGCAGGATCTGATGTATCCTGTATGGAGGAGCTGTATGAGAATCCATAAGTGCTAGTCAGTTGCTACAGACATTTTCTGGTACTTGTCCTGCAAGCAGATAAAATGTCTGGAAATGTCCTAGTGAAGCCAAGAAGAAATACAGCAGGAAAACTCACAGCAAGTGAGTGGGCGTGTTGATGACATTTCTAAAATGTGACTGACGCAGAACAGAAAAATAAAGAATACAAATATCTCAGGTGTCCCACACGTAGAAGACACTGCCGAAGATGTCAACTTGGAAAGACAACGAGGGCTTCGGTGCGGCCGGATTTCCACAGTTACTGTATGTCCTGCCTTCTGCCTGTTAATGTGTCTGACCTGGACAATCTCCTGCTGCGTTCTCTATATGTAAAAGGCAAATTCCATAAAATGTATGCACACAATTTTTGTGAAACTGAGTTCATGTCTGAAAACAAAATAAGTCTGAATCACCATCCCCACTGATATTTATGCTTGAGCCATTTATTACATGTCTTCACAGTGCAAAACACTTTGGTATGTTGACCACCACTGTGGTAGTACACCTGCTCATCAGTTAGCGTATCCAGTCGTGTTGCTTCAGTTTGTAATGCCAAGGACAGATCTGTGTCATGAAAGCGTGGCCGGTGGCAGCTCTCACCGGATTTAAGGACATGAAGGAGCTCTGTGCTTTGACAAAATCCGACCTGGCTAAGAACAGTCCATTTAAAAGTGAGGGGATCTGACACATGAAATATTTTCCCATTCCTCTCAGATCTGAGCAACAGTGACAGTCTCCATTTGTTATTTTTATGAAGCAACACTGCACTCTTAGATAACACAGCCCTCATCTTTGCCCTTCACATCCTCTTCATGTCCCCGCCTCCATCCCTTACCCCCACCCTTTGTTTTTATTTTCCTTTATTTACACTTCTTAAACATACTTGAGTTTCCTGTGTGTGGGAGATGGTCACAGTGCCTCCTCATTCACAGAGAACAAAGCTGTAGCACAGCGGTGCTACGACAAACACATTTTTCAGACAGTAATTCCAAACAACTGATTGTTTGGTGAGTTAAATTCAGGATATGAACAATACGGGTGGAACAATGTGGTGCACGATTTTGTGGAGTTCAATGCAGCACTCTGGTTTCAAAGTGCACGGTGAATTGAAACAATTCACAACACGTTTTCTTCAACATCTGCCGTAAATGTGAAGCGTGTTGGTGAAGCTGTAAATCCTGTTTTTGTCATCATGGCTTGTTTCTTTCTGTCCTGTAAAGTAAAGCTATTGTTTTGGGTTAAAGGAGAAACCAAGAGCAACAAAGTTCCTTGGTGGAAACAATACTCAAATATGACATTTCACAAAATATAGAATTAGATTATTGCGAAGCATCACAACCTTAGTAAGCAGTGAAAGTGCTTAGTTTTAAAGTTTTAAATATGGGTAAACCCGCTAAAAAAGATACGTTTCTCTTACTGTATTTCTTTATTTTTTAATCTGTGCATCGCAAACAAGCTGAAAACAGGAGTTCTCTCATCTCGTTGTTTTGCCAAATTCGTACCGTTAGCTGGGTTTCACATTTCCATCACTGCCATTAGGGGCCAGAGCTGATTAAAACCCATATCTTTGTCCATGGAGTAAATGTTGATTGTATATTTTCCCATTGCAGACAAAAGCCATATGTTTGTGGGTGTTAGTGGGTTTTTTGACCAGTGAAAACGGTCCTTAATTAATATTATATGATATGTGATTGTGCCAGTAGTCGTTTTAAGGGGTAATGAAGTGGCCTTTGTTAATGCGGGTACAAGAAAGGCTCTGTAGTTTTATCCCAACTCCTGCAGTAGCAGTCAGATCAGCAGCTGTCTGCTGCACAGAAAGAACCTCCCTTTCCTCCCCTCAGCCCTCTGTAGCAACCCTCTTCAACATGTCACCTGTGTGCAAGCCCCAGAGCCCGGGTGCCAGAGGTAATTACAGCAGCGAGGAGCTCCCATAGGAGGCCAGTGCTGGCAGTTCACTGCCCAGGGAGAGAAGGGTGGAAACCAAGGACAGAACTCCAGGATAAGCTCCTTGTCTTGGCTGGTGGAGGAGTCAACCTGGAGGAGACAGAGCAAACAAGAGCAGGAGGGAGAGGAGGGAGGAGGGCAGAGACGTGTGCTGTTGTGTTGTAGTGAAATCTAAACCAAGATACCATAGCCAAGATCTGACAATGGATAGATGGATGGAACAAGAAGGGGGAGATGAAGGAGGGAGGGAGAAGAGTAGCATTAGCCAGTGAAAGAAGATGAGACTTAAAAATAAGAGAGGGCTAGTAAAGGAGGGTGGTGGGGGCTGCAGTGTGTCTTGGTGAAGGCGTGACACAGAGTGGAGTGGAGTATATAGTCTGGCAGAGGGGCCTGAGGATCCTCCACTACTGTCACCTTGGCTCTAACTCTCAGTGCTGGTCCAACTGTCAACTCAACTCTAAATCTAACAGTCCAAAATGGAGTCCCGGCCTAAAGTACTGTGTGTCTCCATAAAGACGAGGCCTGTATCACACCACAGAGCCACAGCTAGTGACTTATCCTTGTACCTGAGCATAACGACTTATAATTCCAGCATGCATATAGCAGCGTGCTGGGTTATTTATTACCAGCTTGTCATTTTCCCTGGGATGACACATTTTGAAGTAAGATTCACAAGTTTATTTCATAGATCTAATTATAACTGTAGTTCAGACGAAATGGGGGGAAAAAGAAGATGCTTCAGACTTGATTGATATATCCATGTGCACAGAGATTTTAATGAAACATCTTTCATTTCCTCTGTATATTTCAATAAATATGCCAGGCACTAGTAACAGGTATCAGATTAAATTTGAGTAGGCCATCCCTCAGCCGTGACAGCCGTAAATGAAAGGGATATCTTTGTACAAGCAGAGTAAACAGACGAGGAAGAATGCCTGAAATCTGCCTTACAGTGTGAGCCCTGGGCCTTTTTAATGTTGTTGTTCTGGGCCTGCTTCCAGCTACTTTGTATGTATGTATCTTAAATGGTGCACAACTGTTATCAAACTCCCTGGAGGAAAGCGGTCTTCAAAGCAAAAAAAATGCAACCTTCCTGACGACACCCATGGGGCGCCTCACATTTGTTTGGCGGTTCTCTTTCATTATATGTTGGGGTGATCTGCACCGCAACTCCTGCTGCACTCCCCCACCCTCGAGCTCCCCCGGCCCCCTAAAATTGAGCAACGGGAACGGATCCAGACTAAGAGTAAACTGTTTTACAGTTGCTGCACAACAAATAAACAAACATCTGGAAGCATTCAGAGCAGCCCATTAGAAGGGCTCTGGGCTTTGCCAAAAAGGGGTAAATGATGAGGAATGGGCTGTCGAGAGGCTGGTGGAGACAGGGGAGAGGCCAGATGACGGAGCTGTGGGTGCTAAGCACTGCCTTTTAGAGCTCAGCTGGGCTCAAAGAGATCTACACCTGCTGCTATCTCCTCCGCCCCTCCTCTCCTCCGCCAGACATCTGGATGGGATACATGACTAATGGATGACTAAACTGCAAGTGTTGAAACTTAGCTGTTGTCATTATGAAGGGAAAGGTTGTTGGTTTGACTGATGACTTAATGTTCTTTGCACAGCGCTCTCAGTAAAACTAAAAGTGAGTTTGACGGCTTTAAAAATGTTAATGCGCAGAAACAGATATACAGTGCCCCAATGTCAGTTTATTGTTGCCTGTATAATAACTAAGTGATTATATTATTTATGATTGCATGGCTCAGATGCTGAACATGAATATTAACATGTTCACGAAGTCCTGTTATTTCAAGTGAACACATGCTAGAAGTTACAGATTCTTTTTAATGGCGAATAAATTGCTACATTACCTCAGACATCTGTTTCTTTGCTCCTGAGCTGATTTCCGTGCTTATCTTGAGTGATACCTCAGCTCTGTTTGATGTCACTCTGTAGTTAGAATAAAAACTCTCATCTTTCTCCCTGACAATCTTCCCATTCTGCTCTGAACTGCCTTGGCGTGTTCCCCGAGCATAGAACCGTCCCCTCCAGAGCCCAGTGAGAAAAGACAGAGCACCTTTGACATTTCCCATCACACACATGTACGTGCTCTGCAAGACATTTCACTCAGCCTCGTAATGAGTATACCAGCAGGATCTGTCCCCTGATAAACATCACTCTTAAACACAAAGACCCGCGCTGGCCACCACACAACTAATATGAGGCATATGGAAAGAGGAGAGTGTAAGCTTTTCCTCCTCCGCGTCCAGAGTGCCCTGTGCAGAGCTGCTT